GAGTTACATTCCTAAGGGCATGTATCCATACACCGGCTTTGTGCACATTCTCACAATACCCACGTGCAGCAAGCCTCAGCCAGGTACCACCTCCTCCAGGAACCCTTCCTTGTAGCCCTGGGCTGAACTAACTGACCCTCTTCTGCCTCCTACAAGCCTTGTGGCCTGTGCACTCCTTCGAAAGAGCGTTTATTCTACTGACATTGTCTGTTTTCCCACCTGACCTGTCACTACAGTGAAACCCCTAGAAGACAGGGACCATGTGTCACTCTCTCAGCATCCCAGCACCCGGACCATTCAGAACCTGTGCGTGGACGGGCTGGCCGAGCCTTGTGTTCTCCCAGTAAGATATTCCTTCTCCAATGGCCCCACCCCCTATGCCCACCACCCCTGTACCCAGGTTAGGATAAACTAAACCTAATACGCCCAGGGGGCTTTCTCCTTGGAGTCACCACAACAAGACTTTCCTCCGACCCAGGCGGGGTTTGCTCTGACTCTGAAGATGGAGGCAGCCTGGGATACAGGGCGGGGCCCCTGGCTCATCCTGAGGCCTGGGGGGTGGGAAGGCCACCACAGCGAGCCTTCCTCTTCTTTTCTGAACTTTCTGGCCCTGGCGCGAACCTTGCTGGCGCCCATGGGCTTTTAATATTTTCCATTCCTGGCTGTTATACAACATTTCACCTCAAATATGCATCCTCCCCCTCACCAAAGGTCACGCGTTTCCAGTGAGAGGAACCAGGAGCTGGGTGAGTGGGGGTGACCCACCACGTTCTGGGTTTGGAAGAGCCCAGCCCGGTGCTTCAGGGGAAAAAGGGGGTGACAGAAAGGTCTTCACAGCTGGAGGAGACTAGCTCCCTGGCTGGCCATGCGAAGCCTGGGCCCACGGCAAGCAGGGGCCGCCTGCTCGTACCATCTCGGACTCCAGTCCTGCCCCTTCCACTGATCCTCTGACCTTGGCCAAGTGGCTTTACCTCTTGCGCCCCAATGTCCCTGCCTGTACCGTGGGGATAACGGCAGTGCCTGTCATTCAAGGTCCTTGTGAGGTTCAAATGCTGCACTTTTGGATCATCCAGGGAGCTTTAAAACTCACCCACAGAGCGGGGAGTGGAGCCATTAACATATCCCTGAAAAAATGGAGGTCGATGCATTGGTTAGTATGGCCACCAATCCTTTTAACTGAAGCATTTAGTCCATTTACATTGATTAAAATACTGATACATACACACACATAACATGTATGTATTTATGTGTGTATGTATGTACTAGTATATATGTATGTATTTCTACCCTATTATTTTGTATTTTCCCACAACTTTTCTAGATGTTTTTCTATTCTTTCTTGCTTTCTCAATTATTTTTTATTAGATTTTTTTCTCCTTCACTAGTTTGCAAATTATGCATTTTTTTGCTATTTTTAGTGGTTACACTAGAAATTTTAATATACATATTTTATTTGTCTATGTCTGTATCTTTAATTTTTTTCTTAAATAAAACAAGGACCTTAGAGCTAATTCTAATCTCCCCTCTCCTAGCTTATATATTGTTTCCTTTATGTATTTGAATTTTACCTTGTGTTTTTAAAGCCTACAAGACATTGTTATTATTGATTATACAATATTTGTTTCAATTTACTCATATATGTACCACTTTCTTTGCTTTACATTCCTTCTTGTCTTTCATTTCTTCCATCTGGGATCACTTTCTTTCTGCCTACTGGTGGCAAATACAGTTTTTGTTCATCTCATCATGTCATTATTTTTTCTTATTCTTAAAATAGCTTTTCACTGGTTTTAGAATTCTTGGTTGATAGTCATTTTCTCTGGGTACATTGAAGATATAATTCCAACTGACATTCAGCTATTAAGTAAGAAATCAGCTATTTCAGTGTAATTGTCACTACTTTGAAAATAATCTGTCCTTAATACTTTTAATTGTTTTAGTTAATCCTCACCCGAGGATATTTTTTCCATTGACTTTTAGAGATTGGAAGGGAGGAAGGGAAGGGGAGAGAAGGAGGGGGAGGGAGAGAGAGAAACATTAATGTGAGAGAGACACATTGATTGATTGCCTCCCACATGTGCCCCAACTGGGGCCAGGGATGGAGCCTACAACCCAGGTACATGCCCTTGACTGGGAATTGAACCTGCAACCCTTTGGTGTTCGGGCTGATGCTCTAACCACCAACCAGGGCCTGTCCTTAATACTTTCTCTGTCTTTGGTAACCTGCATTTTCACTATGATGTAACTACTTGTAGATTTTCAAACTTATTTTGGGGGAATTTATTAAAATTCTTGAATGCAAGGATTGAAGGATTTCTGGATGAGTCTCAGCCACCAACTCAATTATTACTTCTGTCCCATGATCTCTTTCCTTCTGGACTCTCTTGATATATATATATCGGACCTTATTACTTTGCCCTCCATGTCTTTTAATTACTCTCATATTTTCCATATTTTTATTTATCTTTATTTATATTTTAGAGAATTTCTTCAGCTCTATCTTCCAGTTCTAATCTTATTGTGTCTGATATAGTCATTGTGTCTAATCTTCTATCAAATACAACCATTGAATTTGAATATTTAGTTATGATACTTTGAATTTCAAGAGGGATATGCTACTCCTTTCTTATTCAAATACACTTGATTCTTCTTCAGAGTCTCTTGTTCCCTGCTCAAATTTTCAAGCTTCTCTTTTGTAAGCATTTTATTTATTTATTTATAAACATATTTTTATTGATTTAAGAGAGAGGGAGGGAGAGGGAGATAGAGACATCAATGATGAGAGAGAATCATTGATTGGCTGCCTCCTGCACGCCGACATTGGGGATCGATCCCACAGCTCTACAAGTGCCCTGACCAAGAATCAAACCGTGACCTCCTGATTCACAGGTCAGTGCTCAACCACTGAGCTACGCAGGCTGGGCTGTAAGTATTCTAAATAGTTATTTTATACTATTCATCTGATAACTTCAACATCTAGAGTCCATGCTGATTTGTTTCCACAGTGTGTTGTTTCCCTGAATGTTTTGTGATTTTCAACTAGGACCTACTCATTTCTTCATAACTCCTCTGGGGATTCTTGAGGTTTAGGGTAAAGGTGAGTTTTTCCAGGAGGGTTTGTATTTGAGTTGCCAGATACTTCCAGCATTACCAGACTGGGCACTCTTTAAATTAATGCTTGACATAATTATTTTAGACCACCTATGTAATATGAATTTGGGCTTCAGATCCACATGTAAGGCTTCTTATGACGTATTTGCAGGGATATTTTATTTTTTTCTGAGAATAGGGAAATTAAGGCAGATGATTTTCTTTTCAGTCTGTTGGGAGGTAGTAATGCTTATCTCTAGTTCATTCATTCACTAAAGTCCCAGTCTTGTGTGGGGAAGGATTTATTAGCCTTTCCACCTTAGAGGGGCCCTGAGTTTCTCTCAGTAGAGTGCTAGAACTGGCTCTTACCAGCTCAGAAGAACCAAATATCCAGGAATTTTGCATGCCAATTCCTAATACAATTAATACCTTAAAATTGGCCATGGTGGAGTATTTACATCATGGAAATCGGCAAACACTAAAAACAGGGTGCTTTGCTTTTTTGGAGAGCCATTCATTATCACACCACTGGTTTCTCTCAAAAAATCCCACCCTCAAAGGGCCATAAATTTTCAAGTTCAAGTTTATTGGGTTAAAAAATAATAATAAAGTTTCAGATGTACAAGATAAAAAAGTTCTAGATATCTTCTATACAACACTGTGCTGTAGTTAACAATATTGTACTGCACAGTGAACAATTTGTTGAGGATACATCTCATGTTATATGTTTTTTAGTAAATAAATAAATAAAATAAAAATGTGCTCAAGGCAAAAGTCAGTTTCATTGCTCAGCTTCATTCTCTGGATTTGTCAGTTGTTTGGCCTGAATATTCCTCATTTTCTTGCCAGCTCATCAGTGTATTTTTTGAAAGATTTCTTTTATCCAGAACTGTTTTCAGAAGGAAGCTTATTTAGGGTAACTAATCACCTTATTAGCAGAAAACAAAATGTTCTCAGTTTCTTAACATAGAAATTGAGAGAGTTGGACTAAATAAGTAGTTCTTACCACTTTAGGGGACACAAATCTTTTAAGAATCTGATAAAAATTAGATTTTGGAGGCCTAGGCCAGGTGGCTTAGTTGGCTGGAGCCTCATCCCAATGCACTGGGGTTATGGCACATGCAAAAGTCACCCAATGAATGCATGGGTGAAACAACAAATCAATGTTTCTTTTCCTCCCTCTCTCTAAAATCAACAAATAAAATGTTTTATTATTTTATTTTTTTAATGAGATACTTTATTATTATTTTTAATACTCACCCGAGGATATTTTTCCATTGATTTTTTAGAGAGAGTGGAAGAGAGAGGGAAAGACAGAGAGAAATATCGATGGGAGAGAAACGCATTGATTGGTTGCCTCTTGCATGAGCCCTGACCAGGACTGGGCCAGGGAGGAGCCTGCAACCGAGGTATGTGACCTTGATGGGAATCCAACCCGGGACCTTTCGGTCTGCAGGCCAAACCGGCTAGGGCAACAAATACAATTTAAAAAAAATTAAATCCTGGAGATCCTCTCTCCAAGAAAACACACAAACACACAGAGAAAAATGTATGTTTTTGCTATCTTGAAACCATGTGGGAGTTTGAGAACCCTCAGTAACATGGATGTTTTCTGAGGTTCTTGCCAGATCTAACTTTTGATGGCCTCACCATGTTCCACAAGCCTCTCTCCCCCTGAGTGGGTATGAGGAGTACAGACCTTTGAGTTTCTGAACTGAAGTTTTCAGGATCTTCAGGACCCCTTGGGGAAGGAGAAACTGAGAGTTGTCAACTAAAACTTGCACAGAGCTGAAGCACAGGCAATATTCCTTCAACCAGAGCTCTCCACATTTATTCATTCAATAAGTATTTATTGGGCTCTGTTCTAGCTATCTACTGTTACATAACATATCATACCAAAACTTCGTGGCTTATATAATAATGACAAATTTATTTTTGTCTCTCACAGTTGTAGGAGTAACTGGGCTCAGCTAGGTAATTCTTGCTCAGGGTCTCTCATATGGTTGCAGTCAGAAGGCAGCTGAGGCTGGAAGCATCTCCAAGCCTTCCTCAGTGCATGTCTGGCAGTTGATGCTGGCTGTAGGCTAGGTTTTCAGTGGGGCTTTTGGCTGGAACACCTACATGTGGCCTCCCTATGTTGCCAGGGCATCCCCACAGTGTGGCATCTGGGTTCTGAAAGGGAGCATCCCAAAAGAGAGCAGGCCAGGAGGAAGCCAAATTACCTGTTATGAATTAGCATCATTTCTGCCACATTCTGTTAAATACATGCGAGTCATTAGACCAGCCCATATTTAAAGGGAGATCAATTAAACGCTCAGGATGGAAGGACATGTTTTTACAGACAAGCTGTAAAGCCACCACATACTCCTTCTGAGTGCCAAGCACTGAACAAGGCACTTGGGACAGAGTGGTGAGTCATACAAACCCTACACTTATGGTACTTATGGTCTAGTGGTGGAAATAAACATCATTAAAACACAATTACAAATATGTACCCAATCGTAAACTTTGATAGTGCTGTGAAAGATAAGGAAAGGGAGCCATGAGAAATTATATTATATATTTTTATGACCTGACCAGGGACCCAAGGAAAAATTCTCTCAAAAAGACATCTGGGTTGAGAGCTAAAGCATTAGTGGATGCTAACTCTTCAAAGCAGGTTGAATAAGAGAGCCTTCCAGGTAGAGGGAACAACAGACCGTGGCTCCAGGAAAGGAGGAAGGTAGCCTGAGAGGCAGCAAGTGTATCTAGAGCAGCCGTGGGCCAACTACGGCCCGTTTGAAATGAATAAAACTAAAAACAAAAAAGACCGTACCCTTTTATGTAATGACTAGGGGCCCGGTGCACGAAATTCATGCACTGGGTAGGGGTGGGGGGGAGTGTCCCTCAGCCCAGCCTGCCCCCTCTCACATACTGGGAGCCCTCAGGCGTTGACCCCCATCACCCTCCAATCGCAGGATTGGCCCCTTGCCCACGCCCGAGGCCT